GTCTTGGCTAACTTGTGAGGAAGTCTCAGGCGAGGGCCGTTGTTGTTGTAATCCAGGGGCCAACAATTCAGTTTGTCCCTCGTGATTTTCCTTGGGAAGAAATAACAGGGTGCGGGCCTTGAGGGAAGTACTTCAATTGAAACAACAAAATGGTCACCAAAGGGTTGCGATCAACAACAGTTTTTGTTCATTAGTACGAGTTCAGCAACAACAGCAACAGCAGCAACAGCTCCTGCCTGATAATTTCGCGCCTGAGCCTTCCGTACGATGTAGAAATCGCGCTCTCGCCGGAGACTTCCTCACAATCTATTAAGATGCCGCTCTTCGATCGTCAGGAATCGCGCTCTCGCTTTGGACCTCCTCACGATTTACTTTGGAGTCGCGATCCCGCTACCTACTTCCTGGCGACCCAAGCAGGATTCACGCTTCAACGACCCGCCTGCTCGACCCACCCGTCGAGGCCTGCCCGCTCGACCAGCCCTTTAGGGACTGCAGTCGCCGCTCGCTGCCCTTCGCCCGCCTTCGATGCCCCTTGTTACCCGTACTGGTTCCGCGGTCGCCTTCGCTCGCTGCTCTCTTTGGCCCCGTCGTTGGCCCCTGTGGCGCCGCATTCTATGCCCTTCGTGGTCGCTGCTCGCAAGCGCTGGTCGTGGCCCCGCATGCTCTTCGTGGCCCCGGTGTCGCCCTTCGTGGCTCTCTCGCTGCCCTTCGTTGCCCCTTTGCTGCCCTCAAGTGTCCCCGCTGCCGCCCTTGGTGGCCCCATATACGAATGCTCTTCGTGGCCCCCGCTCGCTCGCGCCCGTCGTCGCCCCATATGCATGCCATTCGTGGCCCCGCTGTCGCCGTTGGTGTCCCCCTCGGTGCCCTTCGTGGCCCGGGTGCTACCCTCAGCGGCCCCGTCGCTGCCCTCCTGTGGCCCCGCATTATACGCCCTTCGTGGCCCCCGCTCGCTTGCGCCCTTCGTAGTCCCATACGCATGCCCTTCGTGGTCGCGCTATCGCCCTTCGTGGCCCCTTCGCTGCCCTTCATTGCCCGTTTGCTGTCCTCTGTGGCCCCGCTGTCGCCCTTTCTGGCCCCATATATGTATGCCCTTCGTGGCCCCCGCTCATTCGCGCCCTTCGTGGCCCCGCTGTCGCTCTTCGCGGCCACCTCGCTGCCCCTCGTGGCCTCGTTTCTGCTATCAGTGGCCCGTCCTTGCCCTTTGCGGCCTTATATACATATGCCCTTCGTGGCCCGTTCGCGCCCTTCGTGCCCCCCTTCGTGGCCCCATCACTGCCTTTCGTGGCGCCGCTGTCGCATCTTCTGGTCCCATATCTATATATGTTCCCTCCCCCCTATCCCGTCCTTCCATCCGTTCTCTCTTCCCCTGCCTTAAGTGCTGCACGCAATTAGTGTTGCAGGTCTGAAAGGTATAGTCTTCAGGGGGTACGATCGAAGTCGAAGAGGGCGGGTATCGAGGCTTTGGATAGACGTGTTGAATGGCACGCGAGCAGATCGGAGCGAACAGTCTTAACATGATTGTTGTTGTTGCTGCTGCGGTAGCTGTTGCTGTTTTTGTTGCTGTCTTTGCGTCGTCGCGTTGTTGCGTTGTCGTCACCGTCCTCGCCCGTGACCCCCGCGCGACCCAGTCGCGACCCACCCCGCGACCCCGCGACCCACCCCCGTCGTTCGTTCTCTCACTCCTACACTTGCGGAGGACGATCAATGGAGAGGAAGCATGTTGCCAAATAATCTCCAGATGCCTGAAACGTGCTCCAAACATGCTTTAAACATGCTTAACACATGTCTGAAACATGTTTAGATCATGTTTACGACGTTTTGAACACATTTCAGGTTCAATGATCGGACTGCTAGGGTGTCCACTGTCGTGGCGTCCGCAATCCTGCACGCCCGCAGCTGCGGGGTGCTGCGCACCTTCCGCGCGACCCAGCCGCGACCCACCCCGCGACCCACCCCGCGACCCACCCCCCGTCGTTCCCTCTCTCGCCCCTGCCCGCCCGCAGCTGCGGGCGTGCTGCGCGCCTCCCTCGGCCCCCCCCCGCCCCCGCCCGGCCCGCCCCGGCCGCCCCGCCCGCCCCCCGCCGCAGGAGCGGCCGCGGGCCGCCGCGCGGCCGGCCGGGGCGGGCGGGCGGGCGGCCCGGCGGCGGGCCCCGGCGGCCGAGCAGGACGCGGCCGGGAGGGCGATGGGGCGAGTCGGGGGCGGCAGAGAGGGCGGTGAGCAAGACGCGGCCGGGAGGTCGATCGGGCGAGTCGGGGGCGGCAGAGAGGGGGGTGGTGGTTTTAGGCGGGGGGTGGATCTCATGGCGTGGGCCAGGATCTTCCCCAGACGTCATGGCGCCGCGTTTTCTTTCACTATAGGTCCCTGGCCCCCCCCCCCCGCTGGGCCGCGCACGGGCCGCCGGCCATGATCTGCACCCCCCCCTCTTGGACGCCCCCCCTCTTGGCCGCTCCCGAGGCGAGGGGGGGGGGGGCAGAGCTGCGGGCGGCCGGGGAGGAGGAGGCTCGGAGGGCACTAGGGCTGGGCCTGAACGGTGTTTTTTGGTGCTTTCGTGGGCCGTCTTCGTGTCGACCTTCGTTCTGCGGTGAGGAGCGGATTCGAGGCAAAAGCGAGGGACAACGAAGACAATACGAAAACGAGAAGCACCGTTTAGGTTCAGCCCTGGAGGGCACCAAGCATGGGGGGCGGCCAGGAGGTGGGTGACGACCAGCGGGGGCCTTGGTATCTCCCCAGGTTTCATGGCGCCTCTCCTCACTTCATTATGTCCCCGGCCCCCACCCCCTTGGGCCGCGCACATGCCGCCGGTCATGCTTTGCGTCCCCCACTGTTGGACGCCCCCCTCTTGGACGCCCCCGAAGCCATACCCAGAGGAGGAAAGGGTGCCCATACTGCTACCCTTCTCTCGTTTCCGCCTTGCTGGGCCTCCTGGGAGGCCCCCGTCCCCGGCGCCAGATTCGCCTCGAGGTCCTGGTCAGACCGCGCCCCAGGAGAGGTCCGGGGAGTAGCGGTATCGGTGCCTTCTGGTTCCCCCAATCACACCTACAGTGGAGGCCCATGCCAATAAACACCCTGCTTGCCTCCAGGGTGCCCTGGGTATCTTTGGTTTCGATGGTTTTGCTATGGGAAGCGTGACGTTCACACGCGCCAGAAAAATTGACGTCCTGGGGTCTCAGGGTTGGGTTTCTTGTGGAAGGTTTCGTGTGGACTGGCCTCCCTTTACACCGATCCTGCTTCTTCTCCCCTCCTGGGGGCGGGGGCAGTGGGGTCGTGGCCCCTCTCGCCCGCCCCGCTCCCGCAGTGATCCTCGTCCTGCTGCTGCTGCTGGGCACTGGCATCGCACCATCCCGAGTTTCCGGTCGGTGTCGCTTCGTCTGCACGCTGCCCCTTGGGCGGGAGTGCAGCCCCAGCGGCACTCACTGAGGCCCGCGGGATTATTGTTTGGCGGGTCCGAGGTGAGGGCTTGATGCTCCACCGAGCCGCGGGGCACTCTGGCTCATGCAGGCCGCCTGGTCAGCTGGAGACCCGCTCGCTCGGCGCCGACTTGCTTTTTTCCCCTCCTCTTCTCCTCCTTGTGCCCCCCCAACCGGGGGCCTTTGTTTTATGAGTCCTCAGAGGAGAAACATGGACCACCACCGCCGAGAACCCATCGGTGGGGGACCGACCCCTGTGCGGTGGCACGCCTGAGCGTGCAAATCTTTTGATGTACGCATGTGTGAGCCAGGCACTCCAGCAGTGTGGGCCGCTGTTTCTCATCGAACCTCCAGTGCTCGCCTGTTGGAGTTGGAGCTGCCTCTGAGGTGAATTCTGTGATCTGTTTGTTGTCCTCTGTCACGCCCCCTCCCTGCTGCCTCCTCCCTGCTTTTGCCTCCCGTTCTTCCTGCTGGCGCTGCTTTATAGCATCCGCCTACATACCCGGGGCGCCCGAACACTGGCCAGCGGAACTTCGGCCACGTTCGCGGGACTGCCCGTCTAGCTTTGGGCGCTTGGCGTTTGTCCGCCCGCTTTCCCGCTCCTCCTCCTTCGTTTGTCCTTCCTTCTCCTCCTCCTGCGGATACCGGAGCGTGCAGTCCTGTGCTGGTGGCTTTGAGTGGCCCGCACCTTTCGGGGCTCGCTCGGCGTGGTGGCTGCAGGGTAATCCATGGCTGCTGGCTGCCGCCGCAGCGTGCTCAGTGCTACTGTTAAGTCGGGCATGTCCCTCTACAGGAGGGGAAGTCAAAATAGTCAAACACTAGTATGGGGGCGATGTTTCTATTGTTTTTCATTTTCTTTCCCAAATCCGCCTGTAGGAGGACATGCCCGACCTACCGCTACTGCCTGCCTGCCCGCTCTGTCCCTTTTCTTCTTCTCCTTCCCCTTGCTCCCTGTTCTTCCTCCGTGAGCTTGTGATCCACATGCTACAGTTCTGGGCCTCCTGGATGGGGTCGGAGAAGACGAAGTCGGAGCATCGTGCCGCATCGACACTGCATCGGCGATGCATCGCCGTCGTCGCCAGTGCGTCGCCGATGCCTTGCCGATGCATCGGCGATGCATCGCCGATGTGTCGTCGATGCGGCGAGGTCCTCCGCCCCCATCTACTCGGACCGGACCCCATCCAGGAGGCCTCTGACAGTGGCGTGGCGGCCAGCATTTGGCACGGCTTTGACCATTCCGCGGTGGAGGGCAGCACATGGAGTGCCTGCGTTTTTTGGTATGTACATATATATATATATATGTATATATATATATAAAAGATAGATCTATACCATTTTATTTTTCATTTTTAAAAAGACACCTACACCGATCCCGGCCAGGGCTGGGCCCAGGATCAGCGTACACATGACATATACATATATATATATACATATATGTACAGAAATACGTATGCACATGCAATTAATTAGATATGTATCTTCTCACACACAGTAGCACATATCACATAGATGCCATCATACCCATGCCAGGAGGGCGTATGCTCCAATCCTGGGCCCAGGATGAGCCTGGCCAGGATCGGCGCCGGTGTGCACCCGGCGTCCTCCCCAGGAGAGGGCCGCGCCGGTGGGCCTTCGGCGCGAGCAGCGGACGGCGCAGGCGGCCCACAGGCAGCAGTGCAGGCCTGCACCCGCATGCGAACTCCACCCCTGCGGCTTCCATCGGCGCTCGGGCGTCGGACACCCCCGCTGAGCCTCACTTATGGCTGCAGGCATCCTTCGAGTGATGGGCCCTGGCCGGCGTTTCAGAGCTCTGGCCTGCGGGGGCTACGGTGGGGGCGTTCGTTCAGGAATGTGACCGGGAGGCTTCAGACCCTGCAGGATTCCTCGTCTCATGGGGGCGGCGGTGATATCCATGGCCAACTCCCGAGTGGAGTTCCACCGGCTTCCAGACCCCAGGTTCCTTCTCCAAGGGCTTCTTATCCAGTCACCCCACTGTGATTAGGGTTCACGTGTGGTTGCCCAGCAGGGAGGCGGAGAGGGCGATCAAGGCCGCCAGGACGGCCGAGGCGCTGGAGATGGCGAGAGCGAGGCTGAAGCAGGTGCTCCTCGGCGCGGGCGCCGCATGCCCCGCCGTGCCCGCCGAGGCGGAGCTCCTGGACTGAGGTGGCATCGTGCTCTCGCTCCTCCCGCCCGATCCGTGCCCCCTTCCCTCCGAGCTCGAGGGCCGCGTTGATGGGGTGGACGGAGATCAGAGCACCTGTCCCCCCAGTGTGGAATCGGATGTGCTACAGTGGCCTGGGTGGTACCGTTGTGTATATGGTATAATGGGTGCATGTGCATGTTCATGAGTACACGTGCATTTGTATGTATATGTACGTATGTATTCACACGCATGCGCATACACATGTAAATATATACATAGTATATTTATACAGGTGTATATGTATATGTATACGTATATGTATATGTATATGTATATGCATATGTATATGTATATATATATGCATATACTTATGCATACATATACGTATATATGTATGTATATGCTTATGTACATGTATATACGTAGGTGTATGTCTACGTACATATATATATATATATATGTGTATATGTCTATGTATGTGTACAGGTATATGTATGTGTATTTGCATCTGTGTATGTATATGTCTGTTTATCTGTATATGTCTATGTATACGTATATGTATCTGTCTATGTACATGTATATGTATATGCATCTGTATATGTATACGTGTGTGTATAGGTATATATATGTATATATATATACATACATACATCTACATACATATGCATAGCTATATGTATACGTTTATGGAATTTTATATGTAGATATATGTATATGCATATGCATATGTATATGTATATGTATATGTATATGTATATGTATAGGTATATGCATATATGTATGTATATGTATGCGTATATGTTTATGTCCATCTATATGTACGTGTATACGTATATATATATATATATATATATGTATGCATATGTATATGCATATGTATAGGTATATGTATATGCACATGTATATGCATATGCATATGTATATGTATATGTATTTGTATATGTATATGTATATGTATGTGTGCATGTATACATGCATGTATATGTATATGCACGTGTATGTGTAGTATACGTTTTGTATGCATACATGTGCATATATTTACAAAATTGATATACATATATAGTTATGTATATATGTATGAACGCATATCGAAGACACCTACGGCGAATCACCGCCGCCCCTGCCTTCTAGAATCGCCCATGTGGCCGGGCGTTGTGGCAAGAGCTCTGCCAAGCTATCGGACCATGTGTTCCCCCAACCGTTGTGGACCCCCCTCGGGGAACACTTGGGGGAGGATGGCGGGGAAGATCAGGAGGAGGAGGCGGAGGAGGAGGTGGTGGAGGATGAGAAGGAGGAGGAGGAGGAGGAGGAGGAGGAGGAGGAGGAGGAGGAGGAGGAGGCATCTTTGGAGCCTCTGGGGAGGGAATTCGGCGCCTTTCGGGTGGCCGGCGGGCTGGGCCGGAGCCCCAGGAGGAGTCCTTTTGGAAAAGAACCAAAACCAAAACCGAAAGGATCCAGCACGCCAGGCACCCCTGTGATGAGTCAACAGGGGGCAGCGGATCGAAGACGCCTACGGCGAATCACCGCCGCCCCCTGCCTTTTTGGAAACGCCTATGTGGCCGAACGTTCTGGCCAGAGGCCTGCCAAGCTATCGGACCATGTGTTCCCCGAATCGGTTTGGAAAGCGTTCGGGGAACACGGTGGGCGAGGCTGGGCCGACTTGGGCCTCTCTTGGGGTGCTCCAGGGCCGTCTTGGATGCCATCTTGAGCGTCTTGGAGGCCTCTTGGGCCGTCTTGGGGGCCTCTTGGGGCCGTCTTGGGGGCCTCTTGGGCAGTTTTGGGGCCATACTGGAGACCTCTTGGGCGATCTTTGGGGGCTCTTGGGCTATCTCGGGCCGTCGGAAGGCCGAAAGGAAGCAAAGGTCAACCTTCGAAAACCTCTGGAACATCAGTGATTTTGGCCTTGTCGGGCCTTCCTGGAGGCCCTCTTGGAGGCCTCTTGGGCCGTCTTGGGCCATCTTAGGGCCATGTTCGGCCGTCTTGGTGGGCTCCTGGCCCGTCTAATGCCGTCGGAAGCCGTTTGTGGGGCCTCCCTGGGCCGACTTGGGGCCCTCTTGGAATGCTCCAGTGCCGTCTTGGAGGCCATCTTGGGCGTCTTAAAGGCCTCCCGTGCCGTCTTGGGGGCCTCTTGGGGCCGTCTTGGGGGCCCCCTTGGGCCGTTCTGGGGCCATCTTGGAGGCCTCTTGGGCGATCTTTGGGCGATCTTTCGGCGCTCTTGGGCCGTCTCGGGCCGTCGGAAGGCCGAAAGGAAGCAAATGTGAACATACTCTTAAAACACCTACGGCAAATCACTCTTTTTGGCCTCTTCTGGCCTTCCTGGAGGCCCTCTTGGAGGCCTCTTGGGCCGTCTTGGGCCAGCTGCGAGCCACCTTCGGCCATCTTGGTGGGCTCCTGGCCCGTCTGACGCCGTCGGAAGCCGTTTGGAGGTCCTCTCTGGGCCGACTTGGGGTCCTCTTGGGGCGCTTCGGGGCCGTCTTGGAGGCCATCTTGGGCGTCTTGGAGGCCCCTTGGGCCGTCTTGGGGCCCTCTTGGGGCCGTCTTGGGGGCCTCTTGGGCCGTCATGGGGCCCTCTTGGAGGCCTCTTGGGCGATCTTGGGGCGACCTTGGGGGCCTCTTGCGCCGTCTCGGGCCGTCGGAAGGCCGAAAGGAAGCAAATGTCAAACTATAAAAACAACCTAAGGAAAATCAGTGATTTTGGCCTCTGCGGGCCTTCCTGGAGGACCTCTTGGAGGGCTCTTGGGCCGTCTTGGAGGCCTCTTGCGGGCCTAATGGGCCGTCGTAGACCATTTTGAGGCCATCTTGGGCCGTCTTGGAGGCATCTTGGGGCCATCTTAGCCATCTTGGAGGCCATCTTGGGCCGGCTTGGAGACGTCTTGGAGACCATCCTGGGCCATCTTGGCCGTCTTGGACGCCATCTTGAGCCAACTGGAGGAAACAGGTGCACGACGGACGCGTTTTGAGATCTTTTCCGGGTGGCCGGCGGGACGGGCCGAAGCCCCAGGGGGAGTTCTTTTGGAAAAAGAACCAAAAGCCATATAGTTTGGCACGCCAGGCACCCCTTTGATAAATCAAAAGGGGGCGGCGGATCGAAGACGCCTACGACGAATCCGTCGCCCCCTGCCTTTTTGGAAACGCCTATGTGGCCGAACGTTGTGGCCAGACCTGCCAAGCTATCGGACCATGTGTTCCCCGAATCGGTTTGGAAAGCCGCCTGGAGGCCATTTTGACCCTTTCGGGCCTTCTTGGAGGACGTCTTGGAGGGCTCGTGGGCCGTCTTGGAGGCCATCTTGAGCGTCTTGCCTTCGGCCATCTTGGTGGGCTCCTGGCCTGTCTGACGCCGTCGGAAGCCGTTTCGGGAGCCTTTCTGGGCCGACTTGGCCCTCTTGGTCTTGGAGGCCATTTTGGGCGTCTTGGAGGCCTCTTGGGCCGTCTTCGGGCCTTCTTGGGGCGGTCTTGGGGGCGTCATGGGGCCCTCTTGGAGGTCTCTTGGGCGATCTTGGAGCGACCTTGGGGGCCTCTTGGGCCGTCTCGGGCCGTCGGAAAGCCGAAAAGGCGCAAATGCCAACAGCCTTCCAACACCCAAGGATAATCAATGATGTTGGCCCTTTCGGGCCTTCCTGGAGGACGTCTTGGAGGGCTCTTGGGCAGTCTTGGAGGCCTCTTGCAGGCCTAATGGGCCGTCGTAGACCATCTTGAGGCCATCTTGGGCCGTCTTGGAGGCATCTTGGGGCCATCTTAGCCGTCTTGGAGGCCATCTTGGGCCGTCTTGGAGACGTCTTGGAGACCATCCTGGGCCATCTTGGCCGTCTTGGACGCCATCTTGAGCCAAATGGAGGAAACAGAGGCACGACGGACGCGTTTTGAGATCTTTTCTGGGTGGCCGGCGGGACGAGCCGAAGCCCCAGGGAGAGTTCTTTTGCCATCTCATCCGGCACGCCGGGCGCCCCTTTGATACATCAAAAGGGGGCGGCGGATCGAAGACGCCTACGGCGAATCACCGCCGCCCCCTGCCTTTTTGGAAGCGCCTATGTGGCCGAACGTTGAGGCCAGACCTGCAAAGCTATCGGACCATGTGTTCCCCGAATCGGTTTGGAAAGCCTTCGGGGAACACGTGGGCATCTTGAAGGTCATCTTGGCCGTCTGGAGGCCATTTTGACTCTTTCGGGCCTTCTTGGAGGACGTCTTGGAGGGCTCGTGGGCCGTCTTGGAGGCCATCTTGAGCGTCTTGGAGACCTCTTGGCCCGTCTTGGGGGTCTCTTTGGGCCGTGTCTTGGGCCTCTTGGGCGATCTTTGGGGGCACCTGGGCCGTCTCGGGCAGTCGGAAGGCAGAAAACATGCAAATGCCAGAATTCTTCAAAAACCTACGGAACATCAGTGATTTTGGCCTTGTCGGGCCTTCCTGGAGGCCCTCTTGGAGTTCGGCCGTCTTGGTGGGCTCCTGGTCCCTCTGACGCCGTCGGAAGCCGTTTGGGGGCCTCTATGGGCCGACTTGGGGCCCTCTTGGATTGCTCCAGGGCCGTCTTGGAGGCCATCTTGGGCGTCTTAAAGGCCTCCTGTGCCGTCTTGGGGGCCTCTTGGGGCCGTCTTGGGGCCCCCTTGGGCCGTTCTGGGGCCATCTTGGAGACCTCTTGGGCACCTCTTGGGCGATCTTTCGGCGATCTTTGGGGGCTCTGGGGCCGTCTCGGGCCGTCGGAAGGCCGAAAAGAAGGAAATGCCGAAATCCGTCAAAAACCTTAGGACAATCAAGGTTTTTGGCCTCTTCTGGCCTTCCTGGAGGCCCTCTTGGGGGCCTCGTGGGCCGTCTTGGGCCAGCTGCGAGCCACCTTCGGCCATCTTGGTGGGCTCCAGGCCTGTCTGACGCCGTCGGAAGCCGTTTGGAGGTCCTCTCTGGGCCGACTTGGGGTCCTCTTGGGGCGCTTCGGGGCCGTCTTGGAGGCCATCTTGGGCGTCTTGGAGGCCCCTTGGGCCGTCTTGGGGCCCTCTTGGGGCCGTCTTGGGGGCCTCTTGGGCCGTCATGGGGCCCTCTTGGAGGCCTCTTGGGCGATCTTGGGGCGACCTTGGGGGCCTCTTGGGCCGTCTCGGGCCGTCGGAAGGCCGAAAGGAAGCAACTGTCAAAATATTCAGAAAAAAACAATTCAGGAATGGTTGTGCGTCGCACGTGATTGCTTTGAGGTTCTTTAGATGTTGCAGCCCTCCAGCAGCCCCCCATATCGCTGCTGGGGCTCCAGCTTTTCGGCGGGTATGCGAGCCTACCCGACCAGCGCGATAGGCGCCGTGGTCACGTTCCTGGCCGGGTTCGTGGCGCACGACGTGCTGGGACCCGCGCTGGTGCACGAGGCGAGCGGCCTGCCTCCGCGCAGCGGTCCTGGCCACGAGCTGGAGGCCAGCTCGACGAGCAGCACCGGCACGAGCACCAGCACCGTGCTGGCTTGCTCGTGCCCGGCGCCGCCGGCGCCGAAGGAGCCCGAGCCGGCGCCGCTTCGAGTGGCGGGCTCGGGACCCGGCGCGACCGTGGAAGTGCCGCTTGCCGTGGTGCTGGGCGGCGGGGCGCTGGCGACGCTGGCCGCTGCTGCTGGCTGTTGGAGCCGAGTGGAGGATCACGCAGTGGCACGCAAGGTGCTCGAGCCGATAGGTGGAGCTCGGATCCACCTGGCCTAGCTCGGTGACGATGGCTGACAACAATACTTGCCCTGGGCTCAGGGTGTTGGTGACGTACAGTGACGACCCAGGCTGGACGCACGAACGAGTGTTATTGTGGCCTCACAATGAGGCTCGCACAAGCTGGCAGATCTACACGCCTGGCAACGATTTATACGCCGAGGACTTCGGCGACTACGCCTCGCTCATCCCGATGACGGGGCGGAGGCGGTACCCCCCGGGCGTCAGGAACGTGGTGGCGTTCAACAGGGAGCTGCAGGCGGCTGAGCTGGTCTTGCTCATCAAACGCGGTCGAGGCGAAGCCGTCCTCGAGCACGGGCCGCCAGCAAACGGCTGGTGGGCTGACGCTGGCCAGGATTGGCTCGGAGGCAGGCTGGACATCCCCGCGCCGACGGCCGTGGAGGTCCCTCGCGTGCGGCGCCGCCTGCGCAAGAAGGGCGCGGAGGTGCAGACCGACCTCCCCGTGCTCGTTGATGGAAGCCCGCCGCCCCCGCCGCCGCCTTCGGAGCGGCCGCCAGGATCGTGGGTGCGTTGCTCGTTCGAGGACAGCGACTTCGGCCAGATGATACCCCTCTCAGCGGCTGCCATCCTGCGGGGCCGCTACGGGCTCGACAGGGATGAGATGGACGAGTGGCGGCTCATAGAGTATGTGGAGGACGATCAGGCCGACAGCTGGCGAGACGACAAGCTGATGGCGGCGGATCGGCAGCGACCTCCCCGAGGCGCCCTCGGGGATCGGCTCTTCGGCGGTGGCGGAGGCGGCACCGCAACGCCCCCTGCGGAGCCCACGGTTGCGGCCGGCGCAGCTGGCACTGGCGAGGAGCAGGCCGAGGATTTGCGCACGTGCTGGATCGATGTTGACGAGAAAGGCTCGAGGTTCAAGGAATGGCGCAAGGTGGTGCAGGAGAGCTCGCAAGAGGTGTTCTCGGACTCAAGCCTGCGCGGGCCTCCTGCTTGCCTGGAGGTGTGCCGCAAGATGTATCGTCACGGCGGCACGCCCAAGATCTGGTTCCAGGAGTGGTGCAAGGAGACGGGGATCTCTCGACGGGATCGCGCATACCACGAGGTGCAGACACTCATCGAATGTTTGTACCTCACGGGCACCTACGACCAGGTGAACATGGGAGCGCTGGCGTCGCTGGAGGTGATCGCCCGCCGGCTGCTGCAGTATACGGAGGCGTACGCGCACGGCGCGGACCACGCGAACTGGGCGGCGGCGAAGCACCTGGCGGGGGCGACGAACCCGCTGGACGTGGTGCCCGAGGCGCCGCGGAGCTACGCCAGCCGGCTGAGTAAGGAGGAGCACGAGCTGGAGGCGTTGCGGGCGCGGGCAAAGACGCCTGCGGCCTCTCCGGCTGAGGGCGGTCGTGGCGCTGCGGCTGCCGCGGTGGACGCTGGCGGCTTGCCGCTCGGAGGCGGCGCTGGAGGTGACGGAGCTGGAGATGCTGCTGCTGCTGGCCGTGGGCGTGGCCGTGGCCGAGGCCGAGGCGGGCGGGGCCGTGGCGCCCGCCCGCCGGACTCATGACGTCCTTGGCGGAGGGGGGCGCCCGACCGCTCCCTGCAGATCGAAGGGCACCAGTGGGCTTCGCGGCGCTTCCTTCCTGCCGCTGGCTCTCCTGAGCGAGCTGCCTCCCGAGTGGTGTGAGGGGCTCAGCGAGGCGCAGCGCCGGCGCTGGCTTCGGGGCGGCAGCGCTGCTTCCGAAAGCTTGAACTACTTGCGTGGAGGCATCCACCGAGGCGGTCGGGCACCAGTGAGCTTGGCCAGCCAGATGAAGATGGATGCTATTTCGGCGGGCGTGCAGCAGCGCGTCTTCTCGGCGGCTCGCCAGTGGATAGACGTTGACAGCGCCGTCAGTGAGGGGGAGGTTCCTGCCGGGCTTCTTAAGGGCAAGGCGGGGTACGCCCCCCTTGGCTCGACCAGCATGGGCTCCTACGAGTACTCGCGGGTGAGCTTGCCAGACAGTGTCGTGGGCGCGCCGTCGCTGGCCACCATGCTTCCTGCGCAGGCAAGGCTAGACCTCGAGACATGACTTTCATGGCTCTGGTTCGCCGCGAAGTGCTGTCCATCTTCCACTCGGTATATGCTTTTGTGGCGCAAAGCTACCACGCCTTCTCCGTGCTGTGGCCCACCGTGCGCGATGAGTTGAACTGCTACCTGGGCATCATGGTGATGCTGGAGTCGAGCTGGACGAGGCCGTGGACGCCAGTGGTCTACTCCTCCGACGCCAGCCTGTACGGCTACGGCGTTGCGGAGGCCTGCTTCGGGACCGAGGCGGTGGCGGAGGTTGGCCGCGTTTCGGAGCTGGCGCGGTGGCGGCTGGGTGCTGGGCTGGCGAGGCAGCATGCCTTCGAGTGTGCCGGCTTCCTCTTGGACAGCGAGACCGGCGAGGTCGTCCGAGATGAGGCGGGAGTCCCGAAGCGGCTGGACGCCGAGCTCCAGCGCGTGCTGGCCAGTGAGCGCTGGGAGCTGGACCCGAGCTTCCCCGAGGTGCCCAGCTGGCTCCTGCACGACTCGCATTGGGCCACAGTCATGGCCGATCGGTTTCGCCGACGATATCCTTAGACTCGAGGCACGAGCGCTGGTGAAGGCTGCAGCTCGTGCCGCGCACTGCCAGCCTGTAAAAGAATGCTGCTCTCTTTTGTTAGGAGATAATCTCGCTGTCGTGTTGTGTTTTTGCAGGTTCAGGTCCAGGGATTTCCGGCTTCTAATTCAGGTCCGCCGTTTTGCTGCCCTGCGCCTTGCTAGAGACATTAAGTTTGTTGTTCGTTGGATTCCGTCTGAGTTCAGTTCTGGCGACGAGGGAAGTCGAAGGTTCGATCCAGCTTATGATGCCCAGAAGTCCCTCGTTACCCATCTTGGCTCAAACTCGTTGTCACCCCAGGTTCTGGCGAGCCCTGTCGATGGTCCCGCGGTGGGGGCCCGTGGCAGGAGAGAGCAGTCGGCGGCTGACGCCGAGCCGACCTGCGGTGCCGACGCCAGCCGCCTCGCTCAAGACGGGCCGGAGGCGGACGCGGGCGCTGAGCAGCCCTGGTCGCCGACTGGAGTCAGGGGGGCCGCCGCTGGCGCAGAGGTCCCGCTCGCTGAATCAGAGCCGCGGGCTGGCCGCGAGGCTGGTGCTGGAGGGCGCTGCCCGACCGCCGCGGCAGAGCTCAGTAGCAGCTTGCTTGCGACTGAGCCCCGACGAGCCCCGCCTGGCCGACAAGGCCGTTGCAGGCCACGGGGTTTGCCGAGGTCGCGGCGGAGAGCGAGAGCGTCGAGAGCAGCGACGCCGAGGAGCCGCCGGCTGCTGCGCGCTCCCGAAGGCGCCTGCAGACGCGCGGGAAGGCGTTTATCAGGAAGGCGATCGAGGTGCTAGGGGCCGCAGAGTTGGGCAAGGACGACGTGAAGTTGGGCATCAGCTACCTCCGGAAGAGATCGGTGGGGGCAGGCACCTTGGAGACCGACCGCCAGTGCATGCTCGCATTCTGCGCTTGGGCCCGCTGCTGTCTCACGGCCCTGTCCGAGCTCGAGGAGCCGGGCGGCCAGCTGGTCGAATGCATGAACGAGGAGTTCTTGAAGGGCGTCAAGGCCTGGCGGGGCGAGAAGCTGCTCGCCGAGCTGCTGTTCTTCAGCCCGGACTTCGGCCGCCTGGGCGGGCTACATCTACCGAGATCACTGCGCTGCCTGAAAGGGTGGGGGAAGCTTTCGCCACCTCGATCTCGGAAGCCCTTGGTGTTCGCGATCTGGGAGGCGTTGGCAGTGGATCTCTGCCGCCTGGGGGCGCCTCTAGTAGGCGCGATGGTGCTGATCATGGTAGAGTGCTACCTTCGGCCAGGAGAGATGCTGAGCCTCACGAGCGACTCATTTCTGGCACCGACGGAGCATGCAGTGCGGAACTGGGTTGTATGGCTGTTTCCAGAGGCTGGGGTGGCTCGAAGCAAGGTGGGGTCAGCGGGCGATGCCATCCCTTGCGATTCAGGACGTTTGCCGTGGAAGTGTCACATCTTCAAGGCCTTGAAGGGTCGTCAGCCTTCCCGGCCCATCCTGGACTTGAGCTACCCGCAGTTCTTGGCCCTCTTCCGGAGAGCGGTCACGAACATCGGAGCCGACGTCGTCCCATACCAAGGCCGGCGCAGCGGCGCATCGCTGGATCGGGCAACGGGACGGCGCTCTCTGGAAGAGGTGCAAAAAAAGGGGCGAGGGGCGGCGATGATTTCGATGAAGAGATACGAGAAGTCAGGACGACTGAACGAGAACCTGGAGAAGCTGGGCGACGCCTCCAAGGCACACTGCGCCGCGGCGGCGAAGCTAGTGCAGGATGTGCTGCTGCTGGGACGGCCCGCGCTTGTGCCGCCGTTCGGCGGCCGCGAGGGTTCTCGCGGGCTCCGCTGAGCTCGCAACTGGCCGCTGTTTCTGCGCCGTGTCTGCTGGATCTCTTTTCTGGTGGAGGCGGAGTCGGAGGCTTTGCCACGCGACTGGGTTTCAACTCAGTGTCGTTGGACCTGCGAAATGGGGGGGATCAGGACGTGTGCAGTGCCAATAATCTAGATGCGATTCTCGTCCATTTTAGGGCTGGGCTCATCAAAGCAGTCATGTTGGCACCTCCTTGCTCTTCGTTCTCTCTGGCTCGCAACAGATATCCTGTCAGAAGCGCGCAATATCCAGAGGGCTTGCCATCCCTGCGTCCAACCGACCAGACTACGGTCAGCATAGGTAATCTCTGTAAGCGTGTGGCTGTGTACATCGTTCGGTTGTGCCATGTTTTCGGGGTGCCGTTCGCTTTGGAGAACCCTCAGACTTCGCACATGTGGCGATGCCAGGATATCATGAAACATCTTTTGAGTTGTAGCCAAACTCTGGATCTGCATCAGTGCGCTTTCGGATCCAGGTGGCGGAAAGCGACCAAGTTGGCTCTGGGATGTGTCACGGAGGCGGGGGACTTCGCCTTAACCTACCCGGGAGCTCTGCGTTGCCGAGGCAAACACGGGTACTGTTCCTTCAGGCCTGGGCATGAACATGTCGTTTTGGAGGGAAAGGCTATGACTTTGAGGGCCGCTGCGTACCCCTTTCGCTTCGCTCGCTGGCTGTGCGCTGTTCTGCTCGACTTGTGAACAAAGGTGATCTGCATGTGGCAAACCATCTCTCATCACATGCAGAGGTTGACGCCTTCCCCGACATGCTGTGAATGGTCTATACCGCTACGCTGAGAACTTCGGCTTTGCGAAAATGTTGGAGTGTGTTCGCCGTTTGCACGTCTCGATAACCTGGTCGCGACCATGTGGTATCAGAGTTCACCACGGAAAAAACGTCAGAGCATGGTTGTGCGTCGAACGTGATTGCTTTGAGGTTCTTTAGATGTTGCAGCCCTCCAGCAGCCCCCCATATCGCTGCTGGGGCTCAAGCTTTCCCACCCTCAGCCACCCTGGACCTGCCCTATATAGTGCACGCCCCTTTTAACCTTCTTCACTCCCTCCTCTCGTAAGGAGTGTGTTCGCCGTTTGCACGTCTCGATAACCTGGTCGCGACCATCATGGTATCAGAGTTCACCACGGAAAAGACGTCAGAGCAAAACAGTGATTTTGGCTTCTGCGGGTCTTCTTGGAGGTCCTCTTGGAGGGCTCTTGGGCCGTCTTGGTGGGTTCCTGGCACGTCTGACGCCGTCGGGAGCCGTCTTGGGGCCTTTCTGGGCCGACTGGGGGCCTTCTGGGGGCGCTTCAGGGCCATATTGGAGGCCATCTTGGGCGTCTTGGAGGCCATCTTGGGCGTGTTGGAGGCCTCTTGGGCCGTCTTGGGGCCCTCTGCGGGCCGTCTTGGAGGCCACTTGGGCCGTCATGGGGCCCTCTTGGGGGGGCCTCCTGAGGCTGCCTGGGGCCTCCCGGGGCCTCCTGGGGCCTCAGAACTGCATGCACGCACAGAGACACAAATCACACCCAACACATCACACGCTAGACAAACATAACACACACACAACACCTACAACGCACAGAAAACACGCACAACCCAGAGCACACATCACACATCACACATCACACATCACACATCACACATCACACACACAACACTCACAATCCCGGGGCCTCATGTAGCCTCTTCTGGTATCCAAGTCGGGCCTCCTGAGGTTTCCTGGGGGGCCCTGGTACACACATCGCAAGGTGTGGCAACCCCACTTGCGCTCGAGTGCGACCTCGATCTTAGATTCTTCTGCGTTCACCTCCTGCCTTTTCCCCTTCTCTTAGGCACGCCCTGGCGGCGCCGCCCCAGCTTCCCCTTCTCCATATCTGACCCGCAGTCATGGTGTCTTCCTGCTTCAAACGCCCTTTCAGTTTTTTGTATGAGCCTGGGCACACACGTGCCACTTGTGTACACATATATATATATTCATACACACGTGCATCACTTCTATATAGATATGTATGTATATATGTATGCAGAATCTTGTGTTTACGTTTCCAAGTTTGTGCACATACCGCAGACAATGGTACCATGTCGTGGTGATGAAACCCTGGGGAGCCACCGTGGAAACCCATTGACATCTAGGTATAGGGCCAAGTCAAGCAAGCACTGTTGGTTCGAACATGTTTCCCGACATCCGAGTCCTTAGGTGTATCCTGTGTCACGTAGACAAATAGGAAGAGGGATCAGATGAAGCATTCGTTCAGAAGACGTTGCTCGGTTTCGGCATGTGGACCGTCGGCCATCACATGTATTTGTGACCCCTGCTTGCGCTTGCAGCAGATGCCTGAATCTGACTCTTCGCAGACGGGGTTACCAGGCCTGGAAACACTTTCCTTTATTGAAGAGCCCCTGCAGGTACATTGCTTGTTTCGAGCGGTGTGCCCTTTATGTTCTTACCTTGGGTTTGCAATTCGAAGCATAAGCGTTAGAGTTCGCACAAAGTTGGTTTCGAATGGCCACACACCATAACAATCATATTTCCTTGTTCAACCGCATTTGCTGTTATGACTGCTCTCGCGATGCTCAGATTTTCGTTCAGCTCCACATCGTGGCCTTGTACCTTGTGTTAAATTGGGCTCAATCCCTGTTGCCGCTTCGTGCCAGATGCGGCATTGTAGTGCATGTTTGTAGATGGGCGCGCTAGCTGCGGTCATAAGTCACCTGAGTCAGCACTGGGGAGCTGGAACCGATTCCTAACAGGACATGGGACTCGAGAAACATCAGTCACGCGAGCTGGGCTTAATCAAACTACAGCTTCGCTGGAAAATGCCCAGGTGTCTACTTTCTGGTAAGCTACGGGCAACAGAGACAAGTTACGACGTTGCATCCGCTTGGGCAATATTCTTCGAGCCGTTGGGGGGTCCTTGGCGAGTGAGATAGTTGCCCCTCCCCAAACCCCGCCCTTGGGAGCCTTGTCTTGCCGTGTTTTGTTTGTTTGTTTGTTCTTGTTGTTGTTGTTGTTGCTGTTGCTGTTGCCGTTGCTGTTGTTGTTGTTGTTGTTGTTGTTGTTGTTGTTGTTGTGGTGTGTGTATGAGGGGGTCCTTGCTGGATCCCTGGTGGACTCATGTGGCCCCTGGCAGTCTCATCTAGTTCTGAAAACCTCCGAGGCGGGCGCAACTCGTCCAAGACAGTTGCATGACGGTCCACAAGTGTTTTGGGACGGCCCAAGATACGTCCAATAAAGCCCCAGGTGGCTTCAACACAGCCCTGGGGGCTCCCAAGGCGGCTCAAGAGAGCCCAAGGAGGACCTCCAAGAGGGCGCTCAGAGGCACACAGAATTCCCCAATTTGGTTTTGCCCAAGGGGCTCCTATCTGTTTGTGACGAAATGATTGGGTTCGGCATCCTTCGTCAGAGGCGGTTCCCGGGTTTCTCGGTCTTGGGTTCCTGGTTCCTCGGTCTTGGATTCCTGTGGCCTTCCCCGGATTCTTCGGGCTTCCTCGAGCACTGCTGAGCATTGCCAAGCAACGCCAAGTGGAACGCCAAGCAATGCAAAGCCACTCCAATTGCCAAGCAATGCCAAGCAACGTCAAGCATTGCCAAGCAAATCCACGCAACGCATAGCAACGCCAAGCAATGCCAAGCTACTCCAAGCAAGGCCTAGCACAGCCAATCAAAGCCAAGCAATGCAAATCACTTACAAACAGCTCCAAGCAATGACAAACAATGCCAAACAACGCCAAGCAACGCCAATTAATTCCAGGCAGTGCTTTGGATCGTTTTGAATTGCAGCGTATTGATCCGAATTGTGTTGACTTGCTTTGGAAGAAAGAAGACCCCTAGTTGGGGTCGCGCCAGGCTCACTTTTTTTTTAATGCTGTTCTACATATTTGATTTACTCGCCTTGCTGATCTTCAGGGTGTCCAAGGCAATCCAGAGTCCCACAAGGTCGCTGGAAGACGACCCCAACGCCCCCCCAAGAGGGCCCCCAAACGGACCAATAGGGCCACAGGATTGCCGAAACGGCCCGCCAGATTGTTCAAGAGACCCCCATAAGAGCCCCAACAGGAGCCCGAAATGGGACACTCGAAGTGGCCGTGAGGGATTCCCAGGGATTTCATCAGATTTTTCAGGATTCCTTTCGGTTCCCCAGGACCTGCGGACTCCTTAGGATTCCTGAAGGCTCCTGAGGACCTGATGATTCCGAAGGTTTCCCCACTGTACCTCAGGATTCCCACGGATTCTTCAGGATTCCATCGGATCCTTTTGGATCTTCATCGATTTTGTAGATCCCTGAGGATTACTGAAGGTTCTGAAAGGTTTAGGGGATTCTGGAGGATCCCTCATGCATCCTAAGGATCCCGAAGGATTCTTCAGGATTCCGACGGATTCCTCCGGGTTTAGAGCGATTTCTGAAGATTCCTTCGGATTCCTGCAGATTCTGAGGATTCGTTGGAATTGCTCGGGTTGCCTACGGATCCTTGAGGATTCGCAAGGATCCCCAGGGATGGGAGTTCTAATGATTCCTACGGACGCGTAAGGATTCATACGGATTTCCAGGATGCCCAAGCATTCCTGAATATCCCCTGGGATCACACGGAGTGCCTGCGAAGTTCCTGGGATTCCTAGGGCTCTTCCTGTGGATCCCGAAAGGTTCTCGGAGTCGCAGAGCAGGGCCGAGGCCGAGCCCGCACTTCCAGCGGCGGCTCCTCGCGGCCGCCTGGCATGTCTGAGGTTGGTCGTTTGAGGTCGGTCCCGGGGGTACCTCGAGAGGTTGGACGTTTGATCATCGAGAACGAGAGGACCCCTGACCCTAACAACGCAGTGAAGACGTGGCCTCACTGAGGTCCCCGTCTTCGCATTCGGGGGTCATCATTTTGGGGGGTCTGGCTCGATACGTCTGCAAAAGAACCCCTGTCCCAAATTTTTCTGGCCCTCCAAACTCAGGTCCCCTTCCAAAGGGTCAGGGGGCATTTCGTTGCGAATGATTTGAGGTCAGTTGGAGGTCGGACGTTTGAGGCCGTTCGAGATTCGTTCCAGCAGCTGCGCCTCGCCGAGAGCGTCTCCGGGATGCCCGAATCGGCCCGAGCGGCCGCCGTGGGACTCGAGCTGCGGCCTGGAAACCGAGTGAACTCTGGCAGGTTCCAGCGACCTGCCCCGAATGGCTGCTGGAGGCCCCAGCCATGCCCCGAAAGCCAGGCCGCCGCCGCCGCCGCCGCCGCCGCCGCCGCCGCCGCCGCCGCCGTCGTCGTCGTCGTCGTCGTCGTCGTCGTCGTCGTCGTCGTCGTCGTCGTCGTCGTCGTCGTTGCCGCCGCCGCCGCCGCCGCCGCCGCCGCCGCCGCCGCCGCCGCCGCCGCCGTGGCGGGAGGTGCGCGGCGGCGGGTTTGTCTTGGGCTGCGTGCTCCGAAGGGTCCGTCTCGCGCCCGCGCGGCGCCTGCCCGAGCGCCGCCCCCTTCGCCGTGCGGCCGCGCGCGCCTCGGGGTGGCCCTGCGCGCTGGAGGGGCCCTTCTGGCGCGGTCCCGCCCGGGCCGGCGGCAGCCCAGGGATCCGTGCCGAGGCGTCCTCCCAGGCCTCCCAGGTGGACAGAGGAGGAGAGTGTACCCATACCTCTACCCTGCCCCCCTCTTCCCCTTGTGGGGCCTCCTGGGAGGCCCTCGTCGCCACCGCTGGATTCGCCTCGAAATCCTGGTCAGACCGCACCCCGTGAGAGGTCCAGGGAGTAGTGGTATCGGTACCTTTGGTTTCCCCAGATGGGGTCCGAGCAGCTGGGGTTAGAGGATCGCGCCGCATCGCCGACACGGTTCGATGTGGAGCACGTCGCTCTCCACGCTGTCGGCGCTGATGCATCGCCGACGTCACCGACGTGCCGCCTGTGCATTGACGATGCGGCGCGATCCTGGGACCCCACCTGCTCGGACCCTCTTGGGGAGGCCTCCAGGATGAGGAGGATGAGGAGGATGAGGAGGCGGAGGAGGAGGAGGAGGAGGAGGAGGAGGAGGAGGAGGAGGAGGAGGAGGAGGGAGGAGGAGGAGGAGGAGGAGGAGGAGGAGGAGGGAGGAGGAGGCGGAGGAGGAGGAGGAGGAGGAGGAGGAGGAGGATCGTCGTGGGAGGCTCTGCCGTGTCCTGGGGCCCCTGCTTTCCAGGGGGCAGAGCGCGGTTCCCGGAGGAGGCACCGGCCATCCTGGCGCCACCCACACGAGCACCAGGGCAAGAGGCAAGTCTGGCATGTCCTTCTACAGGAGGAATATCTAATAACACTTTTGAAACATAGTCTGGGGACGAGTTGTCGTGCGCTCTTTGGGGTTATTTTTCAGTATTTGTTGTATTTCTTATTTTCCTTCCAGAATCCGCCAGTAGGAGGACATGCGCGACCTACCACTAGCACCAGGGCAATGGCGGGAAGTTCGCCAGCCAACCACCTCCAGGCTTCGTATACAAGGGCACGGTCCGCGGAGCAGACGGGCCGTGTAGCGCCAGGGCAAGCGAACGAAAGGCAGCAGCACTGAAGTGCAGCGCCAGGCACCAGCCACACGGCCCGACCAGCATGACAGCAAGTCGCAGCATTCAGAAGTGCATCATCGAGCACCAGCCGAGGGGCACCACATACACGGCGGCAGGGCAAGAAGCGAACATCGCAAGCATTGGCGGCATCACAGGGCACCAGCCGAGGAGCACCACCCTTGCGCCATGGAGCACCAGGCACAGAGCAGGGCACTGCTCGGGGAGCACTCAATTTCAGGCGGCTCACGTCTTAGCCTCTTCGTCTTCCATTCTGCTGATCCTCCGCTTCCTCCTCCTCCTCCTCCTCCTCCTCCTCCTCATCCTCATCCTCCCTTCCCGTCCTCCCCCCTTCCCTTTTTCTTTCTTCGAACCCAGTCCTCCCTCCTCTCTTTCTCTCTCCTCACCGCTCCTCGTCCTCCCTCCGCAACCCCTCTCCCTCTGAGGCCTCCCCCCCCTCCTCCCTCTTCGCCTCCGCCTCCTCGGCCTCCGCCTCCTCGCTCTCGCCCTCGTCGCCGCGGAGCGGTCTCTCCTGCCCCCATCTCCTTCCCCCCCTGGCACTCGGCGCCGGGGCTCCGGTGGCGAGGAGCAAGATCGCCAACTCCGCCCCTGCCCGCTTCGCCCTGGTCGCGCACCTGGTGGCGAGGCTCCTGCCGATGCCGCTGTCGCTGGACAACCCGGAGCGGGAGAAGCGGTGCTTCTGGATGCAGGAGCCGCCGCGGGTGCTCCCGGAGGAGGAGGAGGAGGAGGAGGAGGAGGAGGAGGAGGAGGAGGAGGAGGAGGAGGAGGAGGAGGAGGAGGAGGAAGGAGGAGGAGGAGGAGGAGGGAGGAGGAGGAGGAGGAGGAGGAGGAGGAGGAGGAGGAGGAGGAGGGAGGAGGAGGAGGAGGAGGAGGAGGAGGAGGAGCAGGAGGGGGGAAGAGCAGGAGGAGGAGGAGGAGGAGCAGGAGGAGGTCTCTCGCCGCCCGGCCCGGGGCGCACGCTGCCCGGGGGAGAGCGGGCCTCTCCGGGGGCACTCTCCTGGCGCCGGGCTGTGGCCCTCGTGGGACGGGGAGCACGGCAGAGTGCCATCACCTCCTCCTCCTCCTCCTCCTCCTCCTCCTCCTGCTCCTCCTCCTCCTCCTCCTGCTCCTCTTCCTCCTCTCTTCCTCTTCCTCCTCCTCCTCCTCCTCTTCCTCCTCTTCCTCCTGCTCCTGTCATGCGCGCTCCACCACTCGCAAGGTGCCAGCTCGCGAACGTCAGAAGAAAACAGATGTGTTGCCTGGATGCAGTATATCTTGCATCCCCCGCCCCGAGGCGGAGCGAGGTCATTTGCGGGTAGTTGCTTGGCGGGTCGTGGGGCGCGCTGGTCCATTCCAGGCCTCCTGGATGGGTTCGGAGTAGATGATGTCGGAGGATCGCGCCGCATCGCCGATGCATCGGCGGTGCATCAGCGATGCGGCTCGATGTGCGGCCCAATTTGCTCCACGCCGACGTCGCAGATGCATCGCCGACGTCGCCAGTGCATGGCCGATGCTTCGCAAAGGTATCGGCGATGCGGCGAGATCCTCCGACCCCATATACTCGGGCTCCAGCTAGGAGGCTTGTAAGAGTCTGGCACAGGTCGACAAACCGGTTGGCAGAGTCACTTCAGTTGCCAGCCCGAAACACATCCCTGTCCTTCTGAGCGGCGTCACTTTCTCTCGGTTTTGATCGTTCCGATCCCAAGGCTTTCCTCAGCTTTTGAGGGCACATCCTCAATATTGTCATCGCCCTGGGCTTGTCAATCTCAGGAATAGGGATAAGCTCGAGGCTGGCCAGTCGGAGTGCACCGAGGCCGACGGCCTGAGCCCGACAACGGGCGCGCGCTGAGCTTCGAAGTCAGGCGGGTGTCTGCTGGCGCCTCCGTGGTCAGATGATCGTTTCTTGGACCTTCCTGGGGACCACTGCACGGATCTGTTCGACTCTACTTCGACTCAAGTTCGACTCCATTTCGACTCTAGTTCGACTCAGGTTCAACTCAGTTTCGACTCAAATTCGACTCGAGTCGACGGAGGTTCGACGCAGGAGTGGAGCAAGTGGCTTCAGGAAGGTCTCCAGAATGACCATATAACCGTGGTGTCGGTTCCTCACTTTCTTCGTCGTCATTCTCTGTCTGCAGGGAGCGAGTGACTGCTGGCTTGTGTTAGACAGTACTCGGCGGCGAGCGAGGGTGGGACGTGAGAGGGAAAAAGCCCTCTCAGAAGGCGGCGGGCCTTCTCTGAAGCCCTCTGGCCTTCAGAGAAGTTTTCTATGTCTTCGGGGAAGGCTTGGAAAGCTTCTCAGAAGGCCGGGGAACTTTCGAGTTTTCTGAGAAGGCCCACCCTCTCTCACTTCCTTCCTGGACTGGCCGCTAAAGTACGGCTGGGGCTCAACATGACATGGCAGAACGGGGCCCAGGGCACAGCGTGCTCACTTCTTACTGGCCTGCGCGTGGTCTTTTTGTGACCATCCTGGGACCGGGAGCGGCTCCGCATTATCGTTTTTTTTTTTTTTTTTTCTAGGCAGCGTTGAGGAACGCTTCATGAACCATTCACTCCGGTCACACGAGCTCCTCGCTGTCACGCCACAGCGTGATCCCACAACTGTCACCGAGCGCGTTCCACTACTCGCAAAGTGCCTACTCGCAAACGTCCGAACAAAAACACGTCCGTTTCGATGTAATTTATCGTAGATCCCCCGCTTCGGATCCAGGCCATCTGCGAGCAGTTAGTTTGCGAGTAGCGGAACGCGCTTGTCCAAATTGGGTAGTATGCAGTACCCCCGATGAGAGCCGAGGATGGGGCCCCGAAACTCGAAGGCAAGTCGTGCCCTCGTTTGGGCGACTCCTGACCAGGCACAGGTCACGTATAAGATCGCAAGGCAGCCTAGAAGAGCGCCAAGCGTCTGGGCGATCACAGAGAAGCGTGACACAGCATCAGCAGTCTTGCTGTCAGCAATCCTGCTCTAAGAAGACTTGCTGCAGCAATCTTGGGGCACATTCTTCTTCGAGATTTCAGCTGACTGAGGTGCCCCCCATGGGGCCGCGCCCGGGGAATCAGGAACTTCGGGGGGATACCTGCCGCCAGGCATTTCTTTCTCGACGCTCCTGCTGTGCTTCACCTGGCGGCGCCCGGATCGATCGGCGAGGCCGTTTCCGCAGCCTGTGGCCGTTTGGAGTCATCGAGCACAGAAGAACCCCAAATCTTAGTCTCACGATGCAGATGTGGCCTCACTGAGGTCCCCGTCTTCGCATTAGGAAATGATAGATCTGGGCGGTTCGGTCTATCTTTGATGTACTTGGCCCTCCCAACTTAGGTCCCCTCCCCCAAATGCTATGGGTTTCTTTTTGGGTTCATCGTGGAGCATCAGCCCCTCACGTATGTGTCTTCTTGTCGGCCATGGGAAGCAGGGAGGATGCTGTCTTGCTGCCGCGCCGCGGGCGCTGGGAGATTTCCCTCGGGCTGCTTGCTGGTTGCCCCCCTGGCGCGTTGCGGTCGTTGCCCGGGTCACCCCACCCCTTCGGTAACAGGAACGATCGTACGTTCTGGCCCCGCCCACACCTCCTCCACCTCCTCCTCCTCCTCCTCCTCCTCCTCCTCCTCCTCCTCCTCCTCCTCCTCCTCCTCCTCCTCCTCCTCCTCCCCCTCCCCCTCCCCCTCCTCCTCCCTCCCCCTCCCCTCCGCCTCCTCCTCCTCCTCCTCCTCCTTTTCCTCCTCCTCCTCCTCCTCCTCCTCCTCCTCCTCCTCCTCCTCCTCCCGGCGCCAGCGCCAGCGCGGGGGGGGTGTTGGAACCCCCCTCCCCCCCCTGTGGCCCTCTCTGGTCATCGTCGCTGCGTCCCCGCCGTCGGCGGTGCTGGCTGCCGCCAGCGCCGGCGCCGGCGCCGGCGCCGGGGGTGGGGGGGGAGGGAGGTGGTTTTGGACCCCCCCCTGGTATGGGGGGGGGATTCGGGAGGGGAGGGGGATTCGGGATGGGGGGGGAGGGGAGTCCCCCTGGTTCTTATCGACGGCGCCAAGTGTTGGGGGGCGCCCATGAAACGTGCTCTCTCATACATACGTATATGTTTACACATACACATACATACACACATGCGTGCGTACATACAACCATACATACACACATGCATACGCACACACACACACACATACGTACGTACATACACACATACATACATACGTACATACACAAATCAACACATACACACCTACACACCTACACACATACATACATACAACCATCCATCCATACATACATACAGCCATACATACATACATACATACATACATACATTCATCCATACGTACATGCACACATACATGCATACATATACGTACATACATACATACAGACATACATACATACATACACATACATACACACACATACATACATACACACATACATACATACACACATACATACATTTATACATACATACATACATACATACATCCATACATACATACATACATACATACAACCATACATACATACATACATACACACATACATACACGCATACATACATACATACATACATACATACATACATACATACATACATTCATGCATGTATGCATGCATGCATACATACACTCATGCATACACGCAACCATACACACATATACACATACATACATGCATGCATGCATGCATACATACATACATACATACATACATACATACATACACACATGCACATACATACATACATACATACATACATACAAACATACATACATACACACATACATACAACCATCCATCCATACATACATACATACATACATACAGGCATGCATGCATGCATGCATGCATGCATGCACACATACATGCATATATATATATATGTTTGCATCCATTCATCCATACATGCCCATACATACACATACATACACACATGCAACCATTCACATATATAGTATTTTCATGCTGCTTCTGGTTTTCGTAGCACTGTGTGAATGTGGATCATCATTCATATTCGGATTATCGGCTGTTATCAGAAGGTGTGATGCCTCAGGAGGCCGACAACGGCGAAAAGCCTTCGGCCCGATTTTGTTCACGACGCGAGGACGTCATGGGGAGGATGAGGGTTCCGTAGCTGGAGACCGGGCAGGGCCTGAAACGCCACAGGTCGGGCGGGTGATAATGGGTGGTGGTGGCCCACATGGGGGATAAAGGAAGGGGCCCTAAAGGGGCCCTGCAGGGCATCTTTTGGAGCCAGCAGGAGCCAAAATGGGGCCCTGAAGGGCCCCTTTGAAATAGGACTTGTTTGTTGCCCCCACCATGTATGTCACCCACCCCTCATTACCACCCGCCCGCCGCCACGGATATGGCTTACAGTCGTGCCGAAGTCTCAGATCGAGGTCGGCTCGGGGAGGGTGCCCTGATGCTCGTCGTGCTTGCTGGATGCTCTTGTGCATCATAGGGAGGGTGCCCTTGGATGTTCTGCTTGTTTTGCCCGACGGAGGGTCTCGTGCTCTTGCTGGATGTCTTTCTGGCCTGGGCCCGATTGTAGCTCCACTCACCCCCGAGCTCCCGCGGCGGACCCCGCCGCGGGGCCCCTCCCCACCACAGGTCGGCCTGCGCGGCGGGGGGAAGCCTCATACCTGGCCCGAGCGGACATCGCAGGGCCCATTTCTGGATCCGATCAATCCGGGTTTGGATCTCGACCTCGACCGGCTCGAGCCGATTCGGTTCCGATATCTCCCGGCGGACCGAGGCAGCCCGACGGCCCGCATGGCTCTGCTGTGCACCCTGGCGCGGCCAATTCGTTTCTCGATCTCGACTCCTGGACGATGCGGCCCGATTCTGTGCCCGCTCCGGTCCGAGCCGATGCCCCGATTCGGCGGTGGCAGGTCTTGGCAGAGCGAGAGAGGGGAGGGCGCGGCGGAGGAGCAGGAGCAGGAGCAGGAGCAGGAGGAGGAGGAGGAGGAGGAGGAGGAGAAGGAGGAGGAGGAGGAGGAGGAACATGAGGAGGAGGAGGAGCAGGAGCAGGAGGAGGAGGAGGAGGAGGAGGAGGAGGAGGAGGAGGAGGAGGAGGAGGACCCCAGGGCCGCAGACCGGGCAGGGCCCGAAACGCCCTCGGCAAAGCGCCCGCGAGCTCCCGCGGCGGACCCCTCCGACGGAGCCCCTCCGCACCGGGTCGGCCCGCGCGGCGGGCGGAGGCCCGGTTCAGCCCGAGCGGATATGCACGATCTCTGTCCTTCGGGGGCAGGCTGCCAAGAGGGGGGTGATGACAAGGGGGGGTGGACATCATGGCGGGGGCCATAAAATCTCCCCAGATTTCATGGCGCCTCTTCTTATTTCAATGATTTCAATGCGTGCCTGGCCCCCCTCTCTGGGCCGCGCACATGCCGCTTGCCATGATCTGCGCCCCCCCCCTCTCCTGGACGCCCCCCCCCCTTGGCCGCCCCCGAGTCCTACGGTAGGGGGAAGCAATTCGTGGAGCCTCCCCCGCTCCCCCAAGCTTCAAGCCTACACGCGCGAGGGAGGCTGCGGTCGAAGCGCAGCTCCTCGGACCCAGCGCCAGCTCGGAGCATCCTGGGGGGAGGCGTGGACCGAGGAGCGTAGCCTGCGGTTCGCTCTTTTCTCCGAGGCCCGTGCCCCCGCCTCCCCGCGGTGTGCAGGCAGTCGCGGCCCAGGGCTCTTTTGTGGGCCACGGTCGGCCTCCGAGGGCCCCTCACGGGCCCCCTGCGGGTGCCTTGGAAGAGGTGGTGGAGGAGGAGGAGGAGGAAGTGGAGGAGAGGAGGATTGGACGATTGGAGGATTGTAGGATCGGAGGATGAGGATGCAAGGGGGGCAGAGCAGGTCGGGAGGAGGAGGAGGAAGAGGAGGAGGAGGAGGCGGCGGGAGGATGGATTAGGGGCAGTGGAGGAGGGGCGAGGAGGGGCGAGGAGGAGCGGCTCGGGAGCAGAGGCTGGCCCCCCCGGGGGAAAACGCACACAGACACACGTCATCGCCGACTCCCAGGTAACAGCTATGGGACATCTGGGACGTGTGGGTGAAGACGAAACCCCAGAAAATATGGGAAAGTATCGGGAATCCTGGGATTTGTGTTTATCATTTGTGTGTCCCTGGGCCCTTTTACTGAAACAAGCACGACGTCCGAGATCCGGGTGCGCCACCCTGAGATCTTGGCGGCTCCATTTTTTCGAGCCGGGCGTTTGCGTTCAATTGCGGGCCCCAGGACCCTCACAGATCGAATCCCAATTCCTAAGAGGACGCAGAAGGAGATGGGGTCTGGGGCTCGGGTCGTGATTTCTTTGGGGATGCTGCAATTATTTTGTGCAAGCGTCGGATCTCTGGGCAGCAGGAGCCGATGGATGGGCTTGTTGTCTCCGCGGCGGCTCGTCCGTCCGCCTCAACGTTTGAGATGTGGGTGCGCCGGGAGCCGAGGGAAGGGCTTTTTTTCACGGTGGCCTTGTCTCCACGGTGGCCCGTCCGCCTCAGCGTTGGAGATGTGTCAAGCAGTGGCGAAGCGTCCTGGCGTGCCTATAGTCCTGCCAAACAGTGTTCTAAGAACCTTTTGTGGTTCCCACGAAAGGTTCTTAGAACATTTCTGGTTGGGACTGTCTTGTTTTATCGCATCGGGTTTATGTTCTAAGATCATTGTTTCTGTTATTCGAACATTTCTGGGTTCCAAGAAAATGTCGTGGTAGGACTATAGGAATGCCGGGACGGTTGGTCCCTGCTCAAATGTGGGTGCGCCGGGAGCCGACGTTGGAGATGTGGGTGCGACGTTGGAGATGTGGGCGGCACGTCCGCCTCAGCGTTGGAGGTGTGGGTGCGACGTTCGAGAATTTCCCCCCCCCCCCCCCCCCCCCCCCCCCACGTTGGCCTTTGCGGCCGCAGGCTGTCTGCGTTCCAAGGCGGTCGCTGCCGTCTTGCAGGTGCCCTGGCCCACCTGGCCATGGGCCATCATGGGAAGCGGAAGGCCCCTGCCGCAGTTTTTGCGGCTCAGGGTGGGACGCACTGCTGCAAACAGTCGCATTGAGCAGAGAGGTCCAGAGCCAGACCCCCCCTACCCCCCCCCCCCCCCTTCCGCCAAATGTCGAAACGCCGGCTAAGAACACGCTCCCCTGGTGATTCTTCCTGCGACGCTGCGTTTTCTCTTGCAGGCGCCGGACCTCAGGGCAGGAGCCGAGGACAGGTGTTTTTGTCGCCACGGGGGCGCGTCTGCCTCAACGTTGGAGACGTGGGTGCGCCGGGAGCCGAGGGAAGGGGCTTTGTCCGCGGCCTCCCGATCTCCTGGCCTCCCTCCCGTCCTCCCTCCCATGCTCTTCCCTCCGCTCCCGGGCGCCGTGCGAGACATCACCGGGGATGTCCTCTGGAAGCCCCTGGGGGCTGCCAGAGGCCTCTCGAGGTTCCCGCGGGTCTCCAGAGGTGTCTGGATGCCCGATGCCACGTTGCCTCATGGGGCCCCCAACCGAGCAAACAAGTACTGACGACTGGTGATTCTCCTCCCTCCTCCTCCTCCTCCTCCTCCTCCTCCTCCTATTCCTCCTGCTCCTCCTCCTCGTCCTCCTCCTGCTTCTCCTGCTCCTCCTGCTCCTCCTGCTCCTCCTGCTCCTCCTGCTCCTTTTTCTCCTCCTCCTCCTCCTCCTTCTCCTCCTCCTCCTCCTCCTCCTCCTCCTCCTCCTCCTCCTCTTCCTCTTCCTCCTCCTCCTCCTCCTCCTCCTCCCCCTCGGGTGTGGGGGGGGGATTCGCGTGGCTGGTTCACTCATCCTCGGGGGGCGGTGGAAGGAGCTGCGCTTCGAGACAAAGTCGGACATCATGCGGCACATCCACCTCATCACTCGCCACTTCTCGGCTGCGGCGCTTGGGCTGCGCCTCAATCGCGAGGCCAGGGCTGCGGTGGCCTGTCTCCAAAAAAATGAGGCTGGGCCGGGTGTCTGCCGCGTACCTTTGTGTCTACTGTGAACCACGCCAGGGACAATGTTGTCCAGGTTGGTCTCGGAATGGGCTCGGGGTCCATTGGGTCCTGCCTGACGCCCATGCTTTCTCCAGACGCTGCGCGTAGATCTGGGCGCAACGGGCGCAGAGCATTGGGGCGATGATGATGAGGAGGGCGATGAGGATGATGAAGAGGAATACGTAACTCGGAACTCCGCGAAAAGACGCCAGAGGGGATCGTTGCCGGGGGGTGCACTACATGATGAAGTGGAGGTTGGGGAGAAGGTCGGGCCAGCAGGCAGATGAGGAAGAGGCGGGGGAAGAGAAGGCGGAGGACCAGAGTAAGGCTGAAGCATGTATCAGCGATGCCGCAGTGCACGCTCCCGTCCCAGGTTGCCACCTCGTTCGTCCCTACGGGCATTCTTTTCTCCATTGAGCGGAGCGCCCACCTCGAGACCGACGAGCGCCCCATGGCTCCACGTGAGCTCCGGCGTGACAGAAGCCAGCCGTCATCTCTCGAGCTGTAACCAGTGGATGCGCCAATGCTGGGTCGCAGTCGACCCCGCATGGTAAGGGTGGGCAGCCTTTCCAAGTGTGCTCCTTGCATCCCTGGCTCCTCCAAACCTGGTAAAAAATAACAGAAGACTTCTGAATTCGGTGATTGTGGGGTCAGTGCTACTCCAATGCTGACGGATGCCTGTTGACTCGGACGCGGTGTTGTCCAAAAACTGACCCCACCCTCTCAGCATTGAAGAACGCGCTGTCTGACAAGTGCCCGAAAGCATCGTGCTCCAGGATGCCAACTTCCATTTCTGGATATTTTTGACGAGGCTTGTCGGTTCATCCTTGGTCATATTCGTGGGCCGCGCCCCGCTCGAAGAGCTTCGAATCGAGCGTCCAAGGCTCTTTGCATCCTTATCTTAAGTCGGGCCTGTCCCTCTACAGGGGGAACATTCAAAAATTGTCAACAAATAGTCAGGGGACGAATTCTTGACTATTTTTATCCATTCGGGGGGTATTTTTTGAGTATTTCTTATTTTTCGCCCACAATTGCCCTGAAGGGGGACACGCCCGACTTAATCCTCATCGCGCCTCCTTGCGACGCGGGCCGGCTGTATACCTTCCAAGGACGTGCCCGGCGACGGTCCCGCTCCGTATAAAGGGTCCGCCCTCCTTTAGTGATTATCGTGCTGCTCTTGCGCACGTTCGTGGACACATCGTGCACAGAGACGTCTCAACCGAGAGCCCCATGTATCGGGGGCGGCAAAGAGGGGGGTGATGACTAGGGGGGGTGGATGTCATGGCGTGGGCCATGATATTTCCCCAGAATTCTCATGGCGCCTCTTCTCACTTCATGACGTCCCTGGCCCCCCCGCTGGGCCGCGTACATGCCGCCAGTCATGATTTGCACCCCCCCCTCTTGGACACCCCCCTCTTGGCCGCTCCCGAATGTAGGAGAGGAGCCGCCCTCCATCCGTGTCGCCCTCGCACACTCTTTGACGTGCGGTGATGTCGAGAGAGTCGTCTCAGGAACGAGCCATACTGTGAATACGTAGGAACCGCCCTCCATCAGTGCAAATGCTGGACAGGTCGAAGACGTGTGTGCGCGGTGCCAAGGCGAGATCCCCATTTTGATCGTCACTCACTTTGCATCCGTCTACCTTTCTGTTTGTTTAGACGTGGGTGTGCGCGGCGCCGTGGCGATAGCCCCATGTTGAAAACCGCCCGCCATCCATCTGTGCAAAATGCCTCTTTTTAAGTGCGGATGTGCGCGGCGCCCAGGCGATAGCTCCATGTTGTGAACCGGCCGCCCTCCATCCCTTCGGTTACTGGAATTACGTGCGTGCCTGTGCGGTGCCGAGACGAGAGCCTCATGTTGAAAGCCATTCGCTTCCCAATGCAGCTATGGGAAATATCGAGCTTCAAGCTCGTACACGTTTGGGAGGAGGAGAAGGAGGCGGAGAGGGGGAGGAGGAAGGAGGAGGAAGAGAGAAGAGTTGATAATGAGGCGGAGGAGGAGGGGGAGGAGAAAGGATGAGGGAGAGGGGGAGGAGGAAAGAGGAGGAGGAGTAGGGAGGAGGAGGAGGAGGAGGAGGAGAGGAGGAGGAGTAGGTGGAGTAGGAGGAGGAGGAGGAGGAGGAGGAGGACGGGGAGGAGGAAGGACAAGGAAAGAGGAGAAGGAGGAGAGGAGCAGGAGGAAACGTGTATTGGATTTTGTATTCAGTGCAACTTAGCAGGCTTACGTAGAACGCAACATCTAGGTCGCAGCATTGCTGGGCGGTCGTCGGTGTGTCGCACTCGGGCTGGACCATGCAGCGCAAGCTGGCGGACCCACATCAGTGCAACAGCTGGCGCAAGCATCCACACCTTTGAGACAACATGTTGCCAGCTCCGCGAGGTTGAGAACAACAGAAACAACGACGATACTGCGAGGAGGGGAACTTATGGGAGGAGGAAGAGGAATGACACTGATGCTGATGCTGATGGCGATGGTGATGATGGTGGTGTTGTGGTGATGATGTGCTTGCCGGTGACGGCGATGATGACGACGATACTGACGAGGCCGTTGCTTCTGCTGGGCATGATGATTCTGCAGCTGATAAATTTAATAGTGATGCTGTCGACCGTGCTTAATACGCTGATGATTATTTTGTGCGAATGCCGATTATGCTGATGAAGGTGATTATGATAATGGGGATGGCGGTGGTGATGAGGATGATGACGATGCTGGTGACTGTGACGATGACGGTGGTGATGCTGATAATGATGCTGTGATTGATGCTGATGCTGCTGCTGATGCCGCTGCTGATGATGATGTGAATGCTGGTGATGATGACGACTACGATGATGATGTTGATGATGAGGATTACGATGATGATGGTGGTGATGATGAGGATGATGGCGATGACGATGGCGATGACGATGATGCTGGTGATGCTGATTATTGGGGTGATACCGATGACGATGGTGATGACGATCCTGCTGTTTCTGCTGATGATGATGCTGATGATGCTGCTGCTGCACATGATGACGGTGATGCTGATGATGACGATGTTGATGATGATGATGAGAGGAGGATGATGATGCTGATGATGATGAGAATGATGGTGCTGAGTCGGCTGCTACTGATGCTGCTGATGACGATTATGCTGAGAATGAGGATGATACTGATACTGATGCTGATTATGGTGGGGAGGTGGATAATGATTCTGATGCTGATGTTGATGACAATAATGATGACGACGATGCTGCTGCTGACGACGATGATTATGCCGTTGGTGATGCTTATGATGGCGATGATGCTGCTATTGCTGATAATGATGCTGATGATGATGATGCTGCTTCTGGTCAGGAGAATGATGACCATGCTGCTGATGCTGATGATGCTGAAGATGATGATGCTGCTGATGATGCTGATGATGTTGATGACGATGATGATGCTGATGATGATGACGACGAACATGCTGATGACGATGATGATGCTGATGATGATGATGGTGATGGTCATGGTGATGATGATGCTGTCGATGATGATGATGATGACGATGCTGATGATGATGATGTTGTTGATGATGATGCTGACGATGATGATGATGCTGATGATAATGATGCTGATCATGATGCTGATGATGATGATGCTGCTGATGATGATGATGGTGATGATGATGCTGATGGTGATTCTGATGATGATGACGATGATGCTGATGACGATGGTGATGATGCTGATGCTGATGCTGCTGCTGCTGCTGATGATGATGATGATGATGATGATGATGCTGATGATGGTGATGATGATGATGCTGCTGCTGATGATGATGATGATGATACTGATGATGCTGATGATGATGATTATGATGATGATGCTGATGATGATGATGCTGATGATGATGCTGATGATGATGATGATGATGATGATGATGATGATGATGATGATGATGATGATGATGATGATGATGATGATGATGATGATGATGATGCTGTTGGGATGAGGGCGACGGCGATGACGAGCAACATGACGCTGAAGGGCGAT